GGTTTCATTAATCTGGTTTCAGTAATCCGGTTTCATTAATCCAGTTTCATTAATCCGGTTTCATTAATCCAGTTTCATTAATCCGGTTTCATTAATCCAGTTTCATTAATCCGGTTTCAGTAATCCGGTTTCATTAATCTGGTTTCATTAATCTGGTTTCAGTAATCTGGTTTCATTAATCCAGTTTCAGTAATCTGGTTTCATTAATCCAGTTTCATTAATCCAGTTTCAGTAATCTGGTTTCAGTAATCTGGTTTCAGTAATCTGGTTTCAGTAATCTGGTTTCATTAATCTGGTTTCAGTAATCTGGTTTCATTAATCCAGTTTCATTAATCTGGTTTCAGTAATCTGGTTTCAGTAATCTGGTTTCAGTAATCTGGTTTCAGTAATCCAGTTTCATTAATCTGGTTCTTCCTCTCAGATTGGAGGCTCGTGCTCGTCATCCTCAGCAGCTTCTTGATGATGATCTTCATCCTGACGCTCAGCTGGACTTTCATCTGCTGCAGCCGGAGGTGAGCTCAGCCCAACAGCAGCTGGACCGGTCCTGGACCGGTCTGATGTGGTCCTGTTTGTGTCCAGGAGGAACCAGAACCAGGGCAGGAGGAGAACCCGGTACAGCATCCTGGACGACATGGACGAGCAGGAGCGGCTGCAGCTACGACCCAGATTCAGTGAGTTCCTTCATGTGGGTCAGCCTGATTCAGAACCACTGAACGGTTCTGTGGCTGAATGTGGCCCGCGGGCCAGCAGTGGTCCATCCTTGGTCTAACAGGACTAAGTCCAGGTGTGTCCCTCGTCCTGCAGGTATCAAACACCGCAGCACGGAGCACAACTCCAGCCTCATGATGTCAGAGTCGGACCTGGACACTGACCAGGACTCTGTCTTCAGCAGACCGGGCCGCACCAAGAACCGGACCAGAACCCAGGTGGCCCAGAATGGAAACTCCTTTAGATGACCAGGTGTCCTGAAGGACTGCGGGGGACGTCTGAGACTCTGAAGGACTGGACTGTAACGGGTCGGTACCGAGGACTTGAGACTTTTCATCTGTTCTGGTTCTGGTTCTTAATGGGATCCCTGGGTCCAGATGCTAAAGATCTGCAGGTTCTGGTTCTGTTTGTTTACCCAGGAAGTGATGTCAAGTATAAAAATCAGAACCAAAGGAAAGTTCTGGAAGAGCCCGTCGGGCCGGAAAACAAAATGGAAGCAAAGGTTTTTATTTAAAAAGTTAATTTAATGAGATGAAAGAGATTATTTACAAACTATCAATTAATCTAAACATCAAAGATTTATATTAAAACATTTTAAATCTAATGGACCCGTCAGAACCACCTGTCAGAACCACCTGTCAGAACCACCCGTCAGAACCACCTGATGAGGGTCAGGTGTAATGTCTGTCAGCTCCACCAGGGGTCAGCATCTGTCCCACCAGCAGCCTGCTGGGACCAGCTGGTGGATCAGACCAGGTCCTGATGGGACCAGGTCCTGACCCCCCTCAGTCCAGCAGGATCCAGGTTCAGGGTTTCAGTCCTCCGAAGCAGACGTACTTCACCTCCAGGTACTCGTCCACTCCGTACTTAGAACCCTCTCGACCCAAACCCGACTGTTTGACTCCACCAAACGGGGCCTCGGGGGCCGACATGAGACCCTCGTTGACCCCCACCATGCCCACCTCCAGGGCCTCGGCCACCCGCCAGATCTGACTGACGTCCTGCGAGTAGAAATAACCTGCAGGGACAGAACCCAACCGGGTCAGAACCTTCTGACTGGACTTTGTTTGATTCATCTTAAAGATTAATGGATCCAGGATCAGTTGTAACATTAAACTTTATTTATAAACATTTATTTTAACTGTAAAATAAAGACTGTAAAAATACTGTAGGATGTTTAGTTTTATAAAGTTTAAAAACATATTTTAACACGGACGGAGCCATTTTATTTGCACACAAAGCATTCTGGGTAAATGATGACGTGGATAGGTCCTCGATGCGAGGCTGCTAGCGAGCTATATCCACCCTGAAGGTTAATCTTGGACAATATCTGATGATCGACTCTTTTAAATGAAACCAGAGAGCGTTGACAG